GAACGTTTAAAGTCAGTTAGATAATACATTTTTCTGACCGTTTTAAGCCAACATTTTAGCTGATTTGAGTTTAGTACTCTTAGACCCTTTACTCCTAGTTTCAACTTTTTGTAAGCATTTAAAATTAGTATGGTTGCTTTTGAGGTAATTTAAATTTTTGGAATCAAATTTAAAATATTTATTATCTAATTAATTTAAATTATTAGAAGTATGATTTTATGCAATAGTTGGTTTAAATTATTAAGGTTTAGTTTAAATTATTTTATGCGAAATTGGGTGAGTTAATTCTCACATTAAAATTCTAATTGATTATTGTGAAAATTAGGTAGAACGTCAACTAAGGCTAACAAAGTAAGTGGTTTTACTATTTTCTCAGTTGAAAGATTTATATTATGTACGACGACACGTTTCCAATGACCCTTGCATGTGCCATTTATGCTTTATATTATATGATGACGAGATTATGATATATGATGATGTTATATGATGTTATACAACAATGTTATATGACAATGATGTATGATAACATGATGTAAGATGTATAATGATGAGATGACTTAATATAACGTTATTCTATATTAAGATGATGTGCACATAGTAAATGTTATGATGCATTGTGACGATGATTTTTCTAAAACACAACCCTAGTTAATGTTAATGATGATGGGCCCAGAGGGGTGCGAACCACTTGGGGGATCCACACTCACACGTGTGGGTCATGCGTGGGGAAGTACTTCACATCCAATTTTGTCTGACTAGAAGCCACACTTATGATGTTTTAACACTAGGTCCTTAATCATAAGTCGCACGTGTTTGTCTTTTCTGACCTCAATAGTTGAGAGACTTACGAAGTACTTCTTAAAATATTCAATTCGTGTGCTACTTCTATTTCAGGTAAAGACAAGGCACCCCTATACGGCTGACAACGACATCACAAGTAGAGACCATAACACGTACATAGGATAGTGGTATTTCATTTTTTTATACTTAAGTTAGTGTAAAAGTAAGTGAATGATAGGATCAAATACCAGAGTATTGAGAGCACCAGCCTTGAAATGGTGCGGGGAAGATTCACTTTTTTGCCTCGAAACATAGATGAGATTTGGTAAAGGCTCTCGAGTAACATCTTTACTTTTAGCGCTCTCTAAGAGTACCTATCTCACACACGACGCAAACATCGATGATCTTATTTTAGAAAGAGAGTATTTACGTACATCGACATAAAAGTATTTATTTGGTGAAAATGAAAGGGATAATTGAAAAGAAACGGGTAAGAATACCTTAATTAGAGAGGGATGACGTTTAGGAGTAAAGGACTTGGTCCATTGATTGAGAGCCATAAGCTCTTCTTCTCCATTCACCAACTCATCTCCAACCTTCCCTTTCTTCACAACATTTTCTACCTTCATTTTCATTTTCTCATAAATTTCCTGAAAAATTCAAACGCTTTACTTTTCTCTTCATAAATATTTTTAAAATAACAAAATAAATAAAAATCAAATATTAATTTTTTGGCATAATTTTATAAAATAAAATTTTAAAAAATGTAGATATCTTTATGAAAAGATGTGTATTTTGTCCATATTAAATTATTAATGGTCAATTTGATTCTCTAGTTTTTCTTTTGTCCAAATTTATTTATTTATTTATTTTCTTTGTTTTTGAGATAATATTTATGGTCAAAATTAGGAGCACGAGTTTATCCCTGGGCCCATAAAATTTGAATTTTTCTTTTTCATATATATATTTTTTAATTTAAAAAAAATGAGACGATAATTTCTTTAATTCAAAAGTCTTCGAAAATGTTTAAATTGGTCCCGTTTTTTAGAGACCATCCGTAATTTAAATGCAGCCAAATATAGAATAATTAATTAAATTTTTGTTGTCTACGAAAAAAATGAAAATACCTTCATCTTGTCTGTTTCGGAGTTCCGATCCTTGTTGAACGTGAAGAAGGCATCGGGATTCCTCTCTACGACGCCGTTTTTCCTGCAAAACGGCAACCACTCGGCGGCGAACCTAGCCGCCTCCATAAAAGCGAAGAGCGTCAGGGCGGAGCCGCCGTCGTCCGACACATACACGGAGATTTTACATGTCGGGTAGTCGTAGGCCATGACAGACAGAGCCGTGTTGACTACGTTAATCGGTGGCTCCTTGTATGGATCCGCCGTGCAAATAAACACATCCAACGCCGGAAAATCTGAGTCTTTGTTTAGTGATTCTTTCAGGTTTCCGGGGTACTCACGGCGGTGGAGTGGATTCATCCGGAAGGATTGAGCGTTGACCCACATGAAAGCCAAAATGATGTCGGAGATGAACAGGGAAACAGAGACGAAGAAGGAACCCAAAGAGGTGGGTGTGAGAAGTGAAGCCATGTGATGGTAAAACAAAGCCAAAATAGCGCCGCTGTAAATGGCGGCGAATAAGCGGTTAAAGGTGGTGGCGCGTCGAGAAATGTGTTGGGAGTTTAGAGGCAAGGCCGTCGCGGCGGCGCGTGCTCTGATATCCTCCATGGTTTTAGGTCTTTCTTTTTACTTGTTGGAGATGTGAAGTGAACTCCCAATTTTATAGGAGTGGGTTTAATATCAATTTATTTCTGATGGCATATATTTAAAAATATATTTTATTATTATTATTATTTAAACATTTTAGATGTCGGTTCTCTTTAATTCATATTCATATATATATTTTTTTTTTTAATTAATGCAAATATAATATTAGTGAGTAGAGACAAGCAAAATAATTAATAATTGACTTGGCCAGGATATAGTCACCAATTAATTAGTAAAAAAAAAGCAAATTATTTGGATGTGTCTGCCTTAAAATATTTTTATTTTTAAGACTATTAATTTACATTCAATTATACATGTTATTAAATACAAGTTTAGTTTCTATGTTTTTTTTTTTTTTTTTTTTTTTT